ATCCCTGGCTTTAGAGGCTAGGAATATGAGCCAGGTCAATCAGAGAAGTCTAGAAAGTTGACTACGATCACACTCACTGATTTGAGTTAATCAGAAGATGATGTACATTGACATTTATTGAAAGTGTGTGTGTGTGTGTGTGTGTGTGTGTGTGCAAGCACGCATGTGTGTGTTTTCATCAGAATGTTTGCCAAATAAGAGATTAGGGTTGTGAGCTTGTTCACATGGTTGAGAACCTTGTCACCATGAGGCTAAACTTGTTTGAGAACAGAACAAAAATAATAGACAGAAGCAATGTGAGGAAACTGAGACCAGGTTTGGCAAACAAGGCTTGAGTGTTAGTTAAGCCATCCCAGTACCAGGCATGAGTTCCCTGTTTGTTTTTGGTCTTTTAGTTAATAGCCATGGGATTATTTATTTCTTATTACTTTATAGGTGTGGTTAGCCTCTTCAGACTTGTGATAGTTTGAGAGAAAATGGTTCCCATAACCTTTTGGGTATGGCATTATTTGAAAAGATTAAGACATGTGGCCTCGTTGGAGTAGTTGTGGCCTTACTGGAGGAAGTGTATCATTAGGGGTGGGTTTTGAAGTTTCAGAAGCTCAAGCCAGTTCTAGTGTCTCACTCTTTTTTCCTGCTGCCTGCAGATTGGGATAGGACATAGGACTCTCTTCCTTCTCTAGTACTGCTTGTGTGCTACCATGATGATAGTGGACTAAACCGCTGAAACTACAAGCCAGTCCCAAATAAATGTTTTCATTTCTAAGAGCTGCCATAGCCAGGGGTCTCTTACGCAGCCATGGGAACCCTAAGACAAGACTGAAATTTTCCTTCTAGCCTATTTTGTAGTGGACTGCTGGACAGACATTTTTAAATTTGCTTTTAACCATGAATTCTTTCTCCTTTGACTGTGATAGATAGCTAGTTTTACTGGGTATAGCAGTCTGTGCGGACATTTGTGGTCTTTCAGACGTTATAGAACAACCATTCAGGCCCTTCTGGCTTTCAGAGTCTCTATTGAAAAGTCACATGTTATTCTAATTGCCCTGCCTTTATATGTAATTTGCTCTTTTCCCTTGTAGTTTTCAATATTTTTTCTTTGTTTGGTATATTTAATATTTCAAATATTGTGAGTACCAGGGAGTTTGTCTTCTGGTCCTATCTTTTGGTATTCTAAAAGTACATTGATAGCCATTCCTTTCTTTAGATTTGAGAACTTTTATTCTAAGATGCTAAAAAGTATTTACCATGCCTTTAACATGGTCTTTTTCTTCATCTAAATATTTTATTTGTAGGTTTGGTCTTTTTATAGTATCTCAGAATTCCTGGATGTTTTGTGCCTGGATTGTTTTTAGATTTAATATTTTCTTCAACTGAGCTATTCATTTCTTCTGACTTGTCATCAAAATGTGAAATTCCTTTATCTACTCTGTTCCGACTTAACTCTGACCTTTTTGTTGTATTTCCAGAGGTTTTTATTTTTTATTAAGTCTGGCTTTTCTTTAATGATTCCATTTCCTTGATAAATTCTATTTTCATATCTTGAACTATTTTCATTATTTCATGTAATTATTGTGGGGTATCCAGCAGAGAAGAGGGATCAGCCATGGGCTTAAGCCAATAGAAAGTCTTTATTAGTTGCCTAGCTTCTACACTGGGTGTTTGGCATCTCAGTGAAGTCCTGTCTTTCTCAGGGTGAGCTTTTAAGCATAAAAACTACATTTTGAGTTAGTGTACTTCAGCTAATAGCAGCCATTAGCCAGAAGTAGAACTACAGAAGAAAAACAAAACCAAACAAAATCAACAAACAAAAAGAAATGATGCGCACAACAAAGCAAAACAAAACCAACAATTGTTCATTTAGAGACTTTCCCAGAACATAGACTTTGAAGGATTAATGCTTTGTTTTAGTTTTGGCTGGTATCATGGTTCTGCGCCAAGTTTTACAGCTTGAATGGCACTTCCATCATGGAGTCAGTTTTTCTAAGTTATGGAGACTTACTAAAGTCTGGAGCCCTGTTACATTTTATGCTTTGCATTGAGTCATTTATTCATATCCTCTTTAAGGTCCTCGATCAGATTCATAATTGCTATTTGGAAGTCCTTATCTTGCGCTTCAGCTAAATTGCTTTGCTCAGCATCTATTACAATAGGGTTGCTGGTTTCTGGAGGAGGTATGTTGTCTTGGTTGTTCATGTTTGTGTTTTTGTGATGGTTTCTGGTAACATGATATTTTTAGTGTTTCTTGGTAAAGATATGTTTTCTCCTTTGTTGAGTTAGCCTTCATTTTCTTTGGTTATTGTTACCCCAATCTGATAGCAAATGATGTTTGTTTTTTAGTCTTGGGGCTCTTCTGGGTTTTAGGATTAAGATTCCTATTAGTATCAGTTCTGAGGGACTGGCTGATCCTCTGGGTTCAGACACTAATCAGTCTTAGATTGTCATAGTGAATGGGTCACTAATAGGTTAGCAGGCAGGAACGGGGACTGACTCCAGAAGTTTCTTGAGTAATACTAGGGGGTCTATATTCATGAAAAGCAGAAGAGGCAGAACTAGGGACAGCCTTGGTCTGTCATGGGTAGTCGTATGTCCTACGGGAATGGAGATGGGCTGACACGAAGAGCTGAGGCATGTAACGGTTGCTACTAGGGCTCCACTAGAGAAACAAGATTGATGGAGAGGAAAGAGCACATGGATAGTCTTCCTGTGTTATGGCCAAGTGTTCTGGCAGTGGAGATCCTGGCAGAGATAGGTTCTGTGGTCAGAAGGAAGTCACAAAGGAATGGAGATCGGATGGGACGAATGGCTGAGGAAGGTGGTGGGAAATAACTAGGGGTCCCTGGATCTCTATTTGGAGGCTGGGTCCCAAGAAGATCAAATAGGCTGGGTGTGTAATGCGCTTTTAAAATTAGGTAAAATTCAGTATCAAATCTTGATCATAAGTTTTTATTTGTAAGGCAATTTTTATTACTGCTTCTATATCATTGCTTGTTGTGTGGATCTATATAAGTTGGTTTTCTTGTCTCGATTTAATTTGGCAGGTAATATTTGCCTAAGAATTTGTCCATTTTTGTCTAGATTTTCTAGTTCTCTGGAATATAAATTTTCAAAATATTCTGCAGTAATTAATTGGTTTTTATTGCTATTTGTTGTAGCAACTCCCCTTTACATTTCTAATTTTTTTTTATTGAGAAAAGGAAAAAAAAGTTTCCGCCTCCTCCCAGCCTCCCATTTCCCTCCCCCTCCTCCCACCCTCCTCACCCTCTCTCCACTCCTCTCCCCCCTCCCTCTCCAGTCCAAAGAGCAGTCAGGGTTCCCTGCCTTGTGGAAAGTCCAAGGTCCTCCCTCCTCCGTCCATGTCTAGGAAGGTGAACATCCAAACTACATTTCTAATTTTATTAACCTGGGCCTCCCTCCCTCTTTTGACTAATTTGGCTAGCATCTTGCTATATTTATATAAGAACCAGTTTTTGTTTAACTAATTCTGTGTATTTTTTGAACATGCATATGTGTGTGTGTTTGTGTATGTATGCATGTGCAAGTATGTGTATGTGAGCATGGAAGCCAGGGTCAACTTTGGATGTCAGTCCTTGAGCACATCAGCATTGTTTTTTAAGAAAGGGGTGCTCAGTGGCTTGGGTTTTACTGATTAAACTAGGCTGCTTGCCAGCAAAGCCCTGCCACCCACCTGTCTCTACTTTCCTAGTACTAGGTTTGCAAGCTTGTGCCAGCTGCCCCAGATTTTTTAAATGGGTTCTGAGCACTGAAACCAGCCCCTTCAGCTTAAATTAGCAAACAGTTTTTTTTCATTTTTTTTATTTTATTGAGAATAAGAAAAAAAAGTTTCCGCCTCCTCCCAGCCTCCCATTTCCCTCCCCGTCCCCCCACTCTACTCCCCCTCCCCCCTCTCTTCTCCCCCTCCCCCCACTCCTCTTCCCCTCCCTCTCCTATCCAAAGAGCAGTCATGGTTCCCTGCCCTGTGGAAAGTCCAAGGTCCTCCCCCCTCCGTCCATGTCTAGGAAGGTGAACATCCAAACTGGCTAGGCTCCCACCAAGCCAGAACATGAAGTAGGATCAAAACCCCTTGCCATTGACCTTGGCTTCTCATCAGTCCTCATTGTTCGCCATGATCAGACAATGTAGCAAACAGTTTTTATTCTAAACTATCTCCTCAGTCCTGTGTTGACATTTTAGTGTCCATATTATTAATCTCTGCTCCAGCCATTACTATTTCTTGCTACCTACTGCACTGGAGTTGATTTGCTCTGATACTTCTTCTATCTTAAGTGTACCATTAGATTATTTGTGATTGCTCTGATTTTGTAATGTAAGCACTTTTAGGTATAAATGTTCCTTTAGACCTGCCTTATCTGTATCTCAGAAGTTCTGTCAAAGCTGTATTTTGCCTTATTGGATTCTGGTAACTTTTAATTGCCATCTTGATTTTTTCAGTCATTTAATTGCCTTCTTTATTTTTTTTTAGTCATTTGCGAGTGTATTATCCAGCCTCCAAGTATTTGTGTAATTCTTATAGTATCTCTTACTATTGATTTCTAGTTCTATTCTAATAAGTTATAATAAAATAAAATAAATTAGTAGTATTTTTTTGCTTGCTAAAACTACCTCTGTGACCCAGAATATCATCTGGGTCATTTCTAATGATTGTGATTGCATGGACTGTTAAGGATAATCTATATTCTGTTTTTACTGGATGTGAAATTTTGTAGATTTTGGTCAGGTTTATGTCATCTATGGTTTAGTTTAACTTTGAGGTTTCAGTTTAAATGCTCTTATGAAGATGAGAATGAAGCACTTGCAATATTGTACCAGGACCTCTCAGACCCTTTGTACCCATTTGTTTTGATAAGACTGGGAGCTCAACCGTTTTGCACATACATTTTTAAATTAGGATATCTTCTTGATGGACATTTCCCATTATTAATGTGCAGTGGATCATTTATATCTCATGACTAATTTTCATTTGCACTTTTCTTTTTCAGATATCAAACTAGTGATGCTGTCTTGTCTGGAGCTTCCGCTCACTTGATGACTCCCAAACTTCCACTCAGGCTGTGTGTGTCTTTACAAACTTGCAGACGAAGAAAGGTCTATCTTATATTTAAATTCAATATAATCATTGGTAGGTTGAAGGCATTTACATTCATCATAATTTTTGAGAGATGCTTGCTAATTCCTTTGATTTATTTATATTTTTAGGTTACATACTCTTTCCTTCTCGTTTATTAGAATACTACTAGGAATTTGCTGGTTTACTGTGTTGCACATAGTGAATTCCTTCCTAGGTGTATTGCATTAATCTATTTCTCTATTATATGTATTCTTTCCTATGTTCCTGTGATTGAATTGTAATTAAGGATTATAGCATTGGGAGGGTTGAGCCTTTCTTTTTGAGCAGTAGAGACTTTATTTGGGCTATAGGTATGCTTAAACTTATGGCGAGTACTTAGAAGGAATGATACTGAATCTGCATACTAGGGACTTGACATGGTTAATTGGGTTCTTCTAAAGCAGTGGCTCTCAACTTTCCTATTGATATGAGGGACCTGACCTGGTTAGTTGGGTCCCTCTAAAGCAGTGGCTCTCAACTTTCCTATTGATGTGACCTTATAATGCAGTTCCTCATGTTGTGGTGACCCCCAAGAGTAAAATTACTTTTTGTTGCTACTTCATTTCTGTAATTTTGCTATTGTTATGAATTGTAATATAAATAACTGTTTTCTGATGATCTTAGGTGACCCATGTGAAAGGTCCATTCAACCCTGAAAGGGGTCGTGACCTACAGACCGAGAACCACGGCTCTAAAGCATCAGCGTTCACTGGAGTTATTAAACTTTCCCAGAAGATGCTTAGCAACATCTGGAGATGCTGAGGTTATGGCAATTAGAGAGATGGTATGAAGAAGCAGCCCAACTTCATTTTGTTCTGGGGAGCCATTTGGAGTCTGTAACTAAATTCAGTTTCTGTTTACAGGAAGATGAACATGGTATGTACTCACTTATAAGTGGATACTACCTCTAAAGCAAAGGATAATGAGCCTATAGTCCATGACCTTAGAGAAGCTAAATCAAGGTGAACCCGAAGAAAAACATATATAGATCCCCCTGGGAAGGGGAAATAGACAAGATCACCTGACAAAATTGAGAGCATGGGATTAGGGGGAGAAGGAAGGGCAGAAGGGGAAGATGAGAGGAGAAGGGGAGAGGGGAGGATGACTTGAGGAACAGGGTAGTCGAGATAAAGGAAGGACAGAGATGGAGAGCAAAGAAAGAGATATTTTGATTGAGGGAGCCATTATGGAGCTAGCAAGAAACCTAGCACTAGAGAAATTTCCAGGAATCCACAAGCATGACCACAGCTAAGACCCTAAGCAGTAGAGGCGAGGGTGCCTGAACTGGCCTTGCCCTGTAGTCAGATTGATGAATATCTTAAATGTCACCACAGAACTTTTATCCAGCAACTGATGGAAGCAGACGTGGAGACCCACAGCTGAGCACTGGGCTAAGCTCCCAAAGTCCAGTTGAAGAATGGGAGGAGTGAGAATATGAGCAAAGAGGTCAAAACCATGATGGGGACACCCACTGAAACAGTTTACCTGAGCTAATGGGAGGTCACCAACTCCAGCCGGACAGGGAAGGAACCAGCAGAGGACCAAACTAGACCCTCTGAAGATGGGTGGCAGTTGTATGACTGAGGCAGACTGAGAGACTCCTGGCAGTGGCACCAGGATTTATTCCTACTGCTTGTACTGACTTTTTGGAAACCCATTCTCTTTGGAAGGATACCGTACTCAGCCTAGATATAGTAGGGAAGGTCTTGGATTTTCCCTAAAGCTAGGTGCCTCACCCTCTCTAAGGAGTGAATGGGTGTGGGTTTGGGGGGAAGGTGGAGGAAATGGGAGGAGCTAATGGGAACTAGGATTTGTTTTGTAAAATGAAAAAAAATAGTTTGTTTTCTTTTTAAAAAAATAAAATAAAAAATAAAAAAATGCTATGTGACCATGGATATGTAAAAACAAAACAAAACAAAAATTTCCTTAAGATTCTGTTTCTTAGAATTTGACCTTAGAATTTCCTTGAATCTTCCTGGAATTTGAGTAGGTCAGCACCTTGATGGTGCATTGACCTATACCCTCCCAAAACCACAAGATATTTTGCCAAGTAATCTCAAAATTGCTATCTGTTTCTGTATTTTGCTTGCTAAGTTCCTTGTCAGAAATCCCTCATTTTTTTCTTTCTTTTTTTTTTTTTTACTTTTTATTTTGGAAATTCCCCATTTCTTGAGGTATAAAAATCTTACATTCCCTGCATTCAGAGCTGGTCTCTTGAATCCTGGCTTAGGGGAAGATTGGGTATGGTCCCAGTGCAGCTTGCTTCGATTTGATAATTTGAGTCAGTGGTCTTTGTCCTCTAGTCTGTGGGCTTAACGGGTAGTGCTACCAAAATCTAATGTGTGCAATCCAAGGGTGTCCCATGACTCTGAGATGGAGGAACTCCATTTCAAGTCCTAAATACTAGATTGATAATTAAAAGTGGCAAGGGGGTGACAAAGGATAAATAGAGTATTTTAGGAACAGGGAATCCAGTGTAGGAGGCTGAATCAAGGAGGAGCTTATGGAAGATTAGAGAAATGGTTAGGAAGGAGTAGTATCTGGCATTGAGTAGGAGGGCAGAGCTCTCGCACTGTTTTTTCTTGATACAGCTCTGGGTTTGACTCATTGTTCTAGAATCCTTTTGGAGTATACTAGGAAAAGCGATGGCAGCAATGTCACATGACTCACATTTCTAAGAGGCTTCTCTGGCTGCATTAGGAAGAGTTAGGCACAGTGGAGGCACAGGGCTGTGGAAAGACCAGTCAAGAACTGTGGGAAATTCTCAGCAATAGATGGTTCTTGCTTGGACCAGCATCACCTGAGCAGGCAGGCAGATAAGCAAAGACTTTAGTCCTATAATATAGTGTGAAGAACAGTGGAAGATTTGACATAAGATGTTGGTGTAAGATAAAGAGGTATCATAAATGGTACAGTGGTCAAAGATGCCATTAGCTGGAATAGGAAAGGCAAGGTGTATATACAAATACCATTGGTTAAGAGTTACCCACTTGAGTTGAGGAGCTGTCATAAAAGGATATATCCACAAATTCTTTGGTCCTGCTCCTTCAGGGGATAGAGGTTAATATCCCTTTGCTCACTGGTCTGGGTTTAGCTTCCTCTGGACAAAATACAGGAAGATTGAACAGGCAGGACACATGTAATTAGACTGCAGAGAGACTGTGCCTTCCACCTTCAATGTCATATCCCTCTGTTGTGACTCATTAAATCAGCTGAAGTGTCAGGAGAGAGGGACTCTAGGGGACAATGTGTCAAGATATTCAAACAGCGCATGAAGTTCTAGCTGGTGACGAACTGATCCTGACAATAGCCACATGAGTGTGAGCTTAGAAGCAAGTTGTTTCCAGTCAAAGCTTGAGAAGATTGGTGACTTCAGTCCTACATGAGCTCTTGAGAACAATTTTAAGAGATATCTTGAACCAGGGTCACAAGCCAAACCACTTCTGAGTTACTAACTAAAAGAAATTTTGAGATGGTACATCTTAAACCTTTCAGAATTGGGTAAGTTGGTACATACTGATCAAAACCAAATGCAGATGTCCTAGAAATTATGCTGGCTATGACTATCTCAATATCATCTAGACACTTAATCAAATCTGATCAAAACAGGGCCTAATGTAGAGCACACTTAACAGTGATACTGTGGACTGATTCCTCTTTAAGTAGATGGTCTGCTAATGTCAAAGAGAAATGCTGCTTGGTTCTTAACACTTGGTTCCAAAGGTTGCAGCAGAAACCAACACATGGGTCACTGTAGCTTCTCAGCAGGAAGCACAGTTAATCCTGTATTAGTCAGGGTTCTCTAGAGTCACAGAGTTATGGAATGAATCTCTCTCTCTCTCTTGCTTGGCACTTACTGGAATGACTTACAGGCTGCAGTCCAACAATAGCTAGCCGTGAGTGGAAAGTCCAAGAATCTAGTAGTTGCTCAGTCCCACAAGGCAGGGTGTCTCAGCTGGTCTTCTGTATGTGCTGGAATCCCGAAGAAGTAGGCCCCAAAGCCGGTGGAGGAATGGATGTGTTGGCAAGGCAAAGGGAAGCAGGTGAAGAACAAACCCTGTTTTCTTTCATTTTCTTTATATAGACTTCTAGCAGAGAATGTGGGTCATTCTGCCTTAAGACCCAGATCAAAAGCCGGTGTCTTCCAGTCTCAAGATCCATATCGAAGGTGTTGTCTTCTGGCCTCAAGACATGGATTTTACAGGTGTAAAACTACTGGATTGTAGTTCGTTCCAGATATAGTTAAGCTGACAACCAAGAAGAGCCATCACAACCCCATCTGTGTTCTTGATTGTTAATTTATTAGCTGAATATGGTCTTCTGAGGGCTTCCTGTTTCATGGCCTACTTAGATGATGTCATTGTAACAACAAGATAGTACTAAATAAAAGCTGTCTGGAATTATCTAGAATCCTGCCTCATCTTTCTAGAAATCAAAGGACTGAGTCCGAGAGGGGGGCATCGAGCTACTTGAATACTCTAAAAAAAAATAAAGTCCAGAGTAACCTCCATCAGGGCTGGGATGAGGTCAACTACTGGGACCACTTTTAAGGAGGCTTTCACATGACTGCCCTTATATGACCCTGAGAGCCAGCGTCACTTTTTGTATCCTTGGACATAAAAACTGGAGCTTAACCAATGCCTAGATTTATTTCTAAGCCTTACCTTGCTCCCAGTTCTGTCTGGACCCCAGCCCTCCAACCTCATGATTCCTACACCAACCTTCACTTCCTTTATGAGTTTTAGGACATGTTTATTGTTTTTAAATATTTTTCTTTCCCCAATATATCTATCTTATGAGAATTTTCCTAGGTAATGTATATAACACCCATGAGGCAAAAAAATCAGCTGCTAATCACATGGAAGTCTCTGGCCTAGGGCTCTGCTTCTTCCAAAAGCCCTCACCTTGGATTATTTCTTCAATACTGCATTTTAGCAAACCTTAGCTTCTAGGACTTAGTTGAGGTCCAATTTGGTTTTGAAGATGTTAGAAAAATGAAGAGGCTGTCTCATAATGATACAGACAGAGGGATGTGCCTGATATAGCCCCTCAGCCTCTTTTATAGATGGGACAGGTGCCTCACAGCGGGTCCGAGTGTCACATTCAAGTTCATAGAGATTCATAGTGCAGAACTGACCTGAAAACCAGGCTTCTTTTCTGGATCATGACTGTCTCAGTTACCTTTGTGTCACGATAAAGAACACTCAATACTGCACACTATGTAAAGAAAAGAGATTCATATGAATCACCATTCTGGTGACTGTGGGGTGTCTGGACAGGGCAAGGGAGCTTGGTTGTGTTCCAATATGTAGAAAGGTAGAAAGGTACTGGCTATGTGCTGAAGGGGTATATATATGAACAGGGATGTTGCAGGAAGAGGGGCCTGCTTGTTCATCCCAGCTGCCTGGCTAGCTTAGCCCTAAAATAACCACACAGAAATTGTATTAATTAAAACACTGTTTGGCCCATTTGCTCTAGCCTCTTATTGGCTAACTCTCATATCTTGACTTAACCCATTTGTATTCATCTGTATATTATCACGTGGCAGTGGCTTACTGGGAAAGATTTAGCATGTCTGACTCTGGCGGCTCCATGGCATCTCTCTCTCTCTCTCTCTCTCTCTCTCTCTCTCTCTCTCTCTCTCTCCCCTTCTTCATCCCAGCATTCAGTTCTGTTTTCTCCCTGCCTACCTAAGTTCTGCCCTATCAAAAGGCCAAAGCAGTTTCTTTATTCATTAACCAATGAAAGCAGCACATAAACAGAAGGACCTCCTACACCACAGGGAAGTTGGGGATGAGAAAAAAAAAGGAGGGACCAGGTTTGTGTACTCTG